TAAAGACTTTTATAGAAATAGCAAATAAAAATATCTGATTTACAGATCTTAAATCATGTCAAAATAATAAACGTGAAAATATATTGCATAAAAACTGACTGGGACCAATGTGAAAAATTTTTAGTCCCGATCCCGGTCCCGGTCCTGACGGGACCGGGACCGGGACCACTTTGCAGTTCCCTACCACCCACACCCACACCCACAATGAAAAAACTATGAATTACTGAAATTGATAAAATAACCGTAGCTGAAATAATCTATCATGAAAAGTACATAATCAGCAGATGAAATTCTAAATAAATTGTCCGTATTGCATTGTTAATTGCAGGCAACGGAAGTAAAAGTTTTTATATGCAGAAGTATCCCTACTCATTCTACTTTAGTATTGTCGAAATATTACAGATTATAACATAAATTCATTTTTGAAGCATAATTCGAATAGATTAATGAAGTTTATGGGGTAGAAATTTGCATTTACTCTACCGGAGATTCTGATAAATAATTTCAACTAACTAACTGCTGTTTATTTCATTACTAAAGGGTGGTGACAAAGTTGCGACCCCTCATGAGTAAATTAAGAATATCTATAACAAACTCATATGAAGGTATTGATCAAATTATATCATTTTGTAGAGGAAGAGAAGGGATATCATCTGAAAAAAAAGACAATTTGAAATACACATATTTATTATAAAGTTATCGTTATTTTAATAATTTCTAGTGCAAAATTTTTACGTTGCTTTTTTTGCAAAAACAAAAGTAACGGCTAAACTGTAATAGTTTTCTGAATTTCTTTAATATGGTTGAATAGAGTTCGTCAAGCTCTACACAAGAAAATGAATATCAACAATTTTGCTGATCCTGTGTCTGATACGAAACTTGGAGAGAAGTTTAAGAACCAGTCGAAATCTTATATATTGTGTATTGAAGAAAGTGTGCTTAATTTCCAATACGTTCAGTCAATCAATTAGTTGGTTTGTTCCTGAAGCGTGGAAAAGGTATTTTCCTCTAGAGTACATGACAAAGCATCTCAGAACATAAAATAATAGACAGAACAGTCGATCTGGCAAACTTATTGAAAGTTACATATATTCTGCAATACATGATTTGACAAACTTTTATTCTTGTGTATGTAAAAGAAGATCATTTTTTTTATGTCCATATTTTGGTAGAGCTTGTCGAATTCTATGTAATCATATAAAAATATCTACTAATGAATGTAAAAATCTATATCCCGATCGACTTTGATTGTTCAAATATTGCAAGAATATTTATTTTTCGTAAGAAATGCAACGTAAAAATTTTGCACTAGAAATTATTAAAATAACAATAACTTTATAATAAATATGTGTATTTCAAATTGTCTTTTTTTCAGGCGATTGCTCTTCTCTTTCTCTATAAAATGATATAATTTGATCAATACCTTCATATGAGTTTGATATAGATATTCTTAATTTAATAATCAGGGGTCGAAACTTTGTGACCACCTGTTATTTAACTAATCTATTCTTAGAAACAATCAAAAATCATGTAAAACTAGAATCTTATTTCATAATATATGAAGGATTTTGTTTTGCTGAATGTCTTTGTCATGAATAAGTAATGATGAAGAAACCTTGCATTAGTATAGATAAGAAAAAAACAGCAAAGGACGTGGGACGATATGGGCACTTTTCGTCCCAAAAAATTTTTGGAAAAAAACTATCTGGCGATAATAAGTTGCTCATGGGCTACAACGTGGGCACATTTATTCACCCTAGTCCGACATTCAAATTTTTTGCACCTGTACTCCCCCACAGCACACCTGGAAAATTTTTTTTTTTCTTTTTTCGTCAAATACATGTTAGAATATAGAATTAATAATGCTGATCATGAATATGAGTATGGTTTTTGTCTGGAATCTTTTAATAAGTCAAAATGCGAAATTTTCGATGATATTGGTCCTAGGTAAAAATTTAAGGTTTTCTATGGTTTTTGAGCCCTTGTCGTCTTAATTTAGGGTTTCAAATCTTTGGAAACATATTTCAAATAGGTAATCAACTATTCTCTATTTAATGATGTAAAAATTACAACATCTAAATACAGAAAACAATTTTTAAAGTCGGATTACGAGCAAAAATTCCCGCCAAATGTGATAGATGACTCTTTTTGAAGCCATACTGCTTCGCCATAATACCATGTCTCCATATGAAAATGATGCAGGTAGATGCAGTTTTTTGCGCTCTATTCAAATATGTCCTTGGAAAAGAAAAAAAGCATGTCTTTTTGTGGTAAAATGACCGGTCAGTAGTGAAAAGCCATATTTTTTAAATCATATTTTCACATTTCTCGCATACTATCAGTCGATATATACGTTTAGCCAACACAATTAGTATTCCATTAGATAGAGCACACTTGATTACCTATGTTAAGTAGTTCTAAAGAACTACAGATCCTCTATAGATCGATGGAAAATGATAATAAATCCTTTTACTATGACGGTTAATAATGCTGAAAAATAGTCCGGGTGTTTATGCGATTTCCATCATCAAGGCTGCGTGTTCCAAAAAATAATCACATCACGAGAATCAGCAAACTATGGACTACAACTCTGGCACACTTAGTGCCATTTTTTAGTCATCGAGGTTTTTCACACCTGTACCCCCCTCCAGCCCTCGGGAACCTGGAAAACTGTTTCCAATCATTATTTGTCAAACAGATGCTAAAATATACAGTTTAACGCACTAATCACGAATAGTTCCTTATTTTGGTAGATGCCACTTTAAAAAGTGAGAAGACAACTTTTAAACATTGTAATCATCTGAAAAAAAGGAAGGTCCTTCTTGTTTATTTTTTTAAATCGCTCGGATCTCGATGGAATATTCCAAATCTTTGAAAAAATACTTAGCATAGGTAATCAAGTGTGCTCTATCTAATGGAATACTAATTGTGTTGGCTAAACGTATATATCGACTGATAGTATGCGAGAAATGTGAAAATATGATTTAAAAAATATGGCTTTTCACTACTGACCGGTCATTTTACCACAAAAAGACATGCTTTTTTTCTTTTCCAAGGACATATTTGAATAGAGCGCAAAAAACTGCATCTACCTGCATCATTTTCATATGGAGACATGGTATTATGGCGAAGCAGTATGGCTTCAAAAAGAGTCATCTATCACATTTGGCGGGAATTTTTGCTCGTAATCCGACTTTAAAAATTGTTTTCTGTATTTAGATGTTGTAATTTTTACATCATTAAATAGAGAATAGTTGATTACCTATTTGAAATATGTTTCCAAAGATTTGAAACCCTAAATTAAGACGACAAGGGCTCAAAAACCATAGAAAACCTTAAATTTTTACCTAGGACCAATATCATCGAAAATTTCGCATTTTGACTTATTAAAAGATTCCAGACAAAAACCATACTCATATTCATGATCAGCATTATTAATTCTATATTCTAACATGTATTTGACGAAAAAAGAAAAAAAAAAATTTTCCAGGTGTGCTGTGGGGGAGTACAGGTGCAAAAAATTTGAATGTCGGACTAGGGTGAATAAATGTGCCCACGTTGTAGCCCATGAGCAACTTATTATCGCCAGATAGTTTTTTTCCAAAAATTTTTTGGGACGAAAAGTGCCCATATCGTCCCACGTCCTTTTAGGAGGAAAATGTCAGTGACGATTTCATTTTCTACAAATTTAGTCCCATACAGAGTGCTTAAATATTTTTCTAGCATGAAAATCATATTATTTGCATACTGATAGAACTGTAAAAATAAGCTTCACCTGTCACCATAATACCCGATTGAAGAAAGATAATTTTCAAAATGGAAGCTGTTTGAAAAGAGATGAGATTCATTAGCATATCTTATATCATACAGAAAATAAAAGATTACAGTATATTTTATCTTCGAATCAAATAACATTGTTGTACATAGTTTCAAGTAACGACTGATTATTAATTAAAAAACGATTAATTAAAAAAATCTTTTTTTTTCTATCTCACAAACTAGAAAATATGAAAATAAATTTATATATCCAGAATTTTGTTCAGATACCCGTGCTATTAGAAAATTTATCGCTTTTTATAAATATCCTTGCTTTTATCAGAAATTTAACAGAAACTTCCGCAGTTTAAAATAAATATTACTAGATTATAAAAGCTTTTTATGTTCTTGTTATATATAAAATTCTCTTTTTGATCATACAGTGATAGGGAAAAAAGATTATGAATTAGTTGGAATCCAATCAATGATGAATAATCTACAAGTATTGATATTTCTATTATCATTGAATGTATTTACTACTCAATATCTTCTTTATGATACGAATGAGTCATCAATCTCGAAATCAGTTTTTGACTGTCTTTATGCTCATTTGATAGATTATGACTATTATGAGGATTACCGATATAGAACGATCCATCAGATTGTTCCATATTGTCGAAGACTCGATCAAAATGATGCACCAGATGACTTCTCCAATATTTCACAAAGTAATATAAACAATATCATTACATTTGAACAATTGTATAAACAAGGTGTAACAAGTACACAATTACTTAATTGGTCAGCATCAATTGATATCGCTGAAAAATATGAAATAAAAGGTGCAGATTCGACAGAGATTTTTTACAATTGTTCATCACCTTGGTTTGGCTCAAAATGTCAATATAGATTCGAGAATAATGTTCAAGCAACTTTTCATGATATTGTTCGATTACAGTTTTTCACTCGTAACACTTTCGGGTATCAACTGGAATATCTCAGCAGAACATGTTATTCTTTCTTAAATAATTGTATTAGTAATGCACCAATAACATGTCTTGATTGGCGTATGATTTGTGATGGAAAATTTGATTGTATCAATCGAATGGATGAAGATAATTGTCAAATATTGGAAACGAATGAATGTTCTTCTGATACATACAGATGTCATTTTGGTGGACAATGCATTCCATTGGCATTTGTACGCGATGGATCTAATACTGTTGATTGTCTTGATGGGACTGATGAAATGCATTTATTCGAAGCAAGACGTTATCATTTCGCCAGTAGCTGCTTTAAGATTCCAACATTTGCATGCGAAGAACGCACTGGACCATATCAACGTTATTTTTCATGTAGTGATGGTCAATATCATCCTAGTGATAAAATAGATCTTATGCATTTGTGCGCTAACGGTCGACAGTTCTTAGAACATTTGCATCATCAACTATATTCGGTTCCAATTCTGATGGAGATTTCAGATGAAATATTCGACTCAACATTAGCCTCGAATGTGATGTATCTACAAAAAATATTAAATCAATCAGCTTCGATATTTAGTTTGATGCCATGTACAGCTATAGACAAAAAATGTTTGTCAGAATGGATTTTTAAGGCTAAATTCTACTATATGTTTTGGAAATTTCACTTTATTTACTTACCTGATCGATTAGTGAAAGATCTAATTATCCTAAATTATCCTGATTTTATTTGCTTTTATATTCAAGACTGTTCGGTAATGATTAATTGTGCTGTAGAAAATAGGATTAGATGACGAACTAATTTGTTGTCCTTCTTCAAAATTATTTGATACATCAATCATTAATAGTGACGATCTATTCTATGCTATAAAAAGTCTATTTTTCCGTTGCACCACAACAGGTGTAGATCAATCCTGCTCACATCCCTCACTTTTTCATTGTTCACTTTCATCAAAATGCATATCGAAACATCGTCTACTAGATGGCATTTCTGACTGTTACTATGGTGAAGATGAAGCAGATGTTCATGCATGCCATCTCAATGATTCTCAACCATTTATTTGTGAATCAGAGTCAAACAAATGTTTATCACTAATATTAGTGCAAAATGGAAACAAAGATTGTAAAGATGGTGAAGATGAAATGACTGAAAATCAACGTAATATGTTAAAAGGAATTGTTCCATTTAGTCTTATATGTAATCATAAAAATGATCAATTATTATTAAAAACTAACAATATCAACGAGACGAACTGTCAATATTGGCCATGCAATAATATTTATACTCAATGTGATTATGTTAAACATTGTATTGATGGTGCTGATGAATTAAATTGTCTCATTATAAAATGTGAATCACATGATGATGAAGCACATCAAACACTATTGTCCAATCGATTTTGTTTTTCATTAATGGTTTTAATGGAAGATTATTTAAGTTGTAACATTCTTTACATAGAAAATACAACATATTTTAATACAACGATTAACAGTAAGCCGATATCAATTATGGAAGATGACTATTCATGTCTAGATGTAGAGAAGTTATGTTTCAAATATAATCCAGAATTTGGGACTCCTGGAGTATTTTTGGTCGACCCGAGCATGTTTGCTACATCAGCAGCAATTAAATACTGGCTGTTACAAATTGAAAAATATATTTGTCCTATTACGAGAAAGTCTTTTCATAGATTTGAAACCACAGAATGGACTTTTAAATCTTTACAACTGGGATATTTTCCACCAAATATCACTAAAGTACCTAAGCGAAATAGTTCAATAATTAACAAAGAACTATTGATCAATACAGAATCAAACCATATTAAGATGTGGTATTGTAATCGAGGAATTCGCATTCTTTTTAATGATAAAAATACAACAAAATGTTTATGTCCACCAAGTTATTTTGGTAATCAATGTCAATGGCAAAATCAACGAATAAGTTTAACAATTCAATTAATATATCGTACAAATATGTACATAACAACAGTTTTTCAAGTTATTGTTATGCTTATTGATGAACAAAATCGAAATGTATCATATTATGAACAATTTACATTCGTACCAAAACGTGATTGTAGTTCAAAATATAATTTTTATTTACTTTATCCAAATCAACCAAAAAATTCTTCTATGAATTATTCAATACATATTGATTTATTTGATAAAATGAAATTAATCTATTTAGGAAGTTGGCATCTTTCTATTCCATTTCAATTTTTACCTGTTAATCGAATAGCTACTCAATTATTTATTCCAAATTCAAAAATAATTTTGAAATTATGTCCTTTATTTTGTGGTAAACATGGTCAATGTGTACCATACATTAATAAAAATCTTTCATACTTTTGTCAATGTAATGAAGGATATTCAAGTCAACAATGTAACATTCAACAGAATTGTTCTTGTTCATTAGATTCATATTGTCTTCGATCATCTATTTGTATTTGTCCACTACATAAATTTGGTTCAAAATGTTACTTAAATAATTCAATTTGTCAAATTCCTAAAAATCCTTGTGAAAATAATGGAATTTGTATACCTCATGATGATCGTATAGGTTTAAATACTTTTACATGTTTATGTACGGAAAATTTCTTCGGAACAAGATGTGAAAATCTCAAAAATCAAATTGATATTGCATTCAATGATAAAAATATTGGCATGATGTCAATGATTTGGATACCTTTTATTACTTCAATAGAAAATGGTGGTCATCAGCGTAATACTTTATTAAAAAAGATTAAATTTGCACAAAACATAATTAGTGTTTTTACAATTGATCCATTTCATGCTATATTTATTGAATTAACAAATCAAACCTATTATTTAGTTGTATTAAGAGAAAAATTTATCGAATCCGAATATATTCAAACAAAAATTTTACCAAATTATCGATGTTCATCAATAAACGAATTAATGAATAATACATTTTTAAATTATTCTTTATTTCATCGTGTTAAATATTATCCTCATTTATGTCAACAAAAAGAACAATTGAAATGTTTCTATGATGATATATATATATGTGTATATGTGATCTTAATCGATTTTCGAATTGTTTTACATTCAATAAAACTATATCACATGATTGTCAAGGTGAAAATATTTGTGAAAATAATGGTCTATGCTTTCAAGATACTCTTAAATGTCCTCTTCTATCAATTTGTGTATGTCCATCATGTTATTATGGTACAAAATGTCAATTTTCTACTAAAGGATTTGCATTATCTCTTGATTATATTCTTAGTTATAATATTAAACCAAACGTTTCAATTAATCGACAACCATTTATTATTCAAATAAGTATTTCTATTGCCACAGTTATGTTTATTTTAGGAATGATCAATGCTATTTTATCTATTATAACATTTCAAAATAAAAGAATAAGAAAAAATGGTTGTAGTATCTATCTTCTTGTTTCATCATGGAATTCTTTATGTTTAATTATTATATTGATAATTAAATTTTGGCAATTAATTTTATCACAAATTTCAATAATTAATAATCGATTATTTCTTAAATGGAATTGTATATTATTAGATGTGATTCTTAAAATTTTTGTAGCATCAAATGATTGGTTTTATGGTTGTATTGCACTCGAACGAGTATTTACAGTAATTAAAGGTATTCATTTTAATCAACATCAAAGTAAAAAAATAGCTAAATGGATTTGTCTATTCATATATCTACTAACAATTTTTACTCATATTCAAGATCCTTTTTATCGTCATTTGATTGATGATATTGATATTGATGAAAAACGAACTTGGTGTTTAGTTCAATATTCTTCTGCATTAAACATTTTCAATATGTCTATAACAATTTTACATTTTATTCTTCCTTTATCAGTAAATATAATTTCTACAATATTAACAATAAAACACATGGCACATTCTCGTTGGCAAACTCAAAATGCAATACCATTTTCTACACATTTACGACAACATTTTAATAAACATAAACATCATCTATTCGCATCATGTGCATTAATTTTATTGGCTTTACCTCGTCTGATTATATCATTTATTAGTGGTTGTATGAAATCACCAAGAAATCCATGGTTATATCTATTTGGATATTTTATTTCTTTTACTCCCTCTATGAGTACATCAATTATATTTATATTACCATCAGAGAAATATAAAAATGAATTTATGACATCTATTCAATATATTATTCAACACATCTGCATATATTTTCACATAAAAACTCATAAAAATAATTAGACTTTTTCTCAATATATTTTACAACTATAGACTTATACATTTTACTCTTATTGATATTTGCTTTGCTTTACTCTAAACTGATCTGATTAACTAACAATCGATGTTTATCTATTGAAATGCTAGAATATTCAGATCACTAATCAAATAGCTAAGACTAAATAACTTAAATATATAATTCAAATGACAATAAAAATGGTTAAATAATACGATTGAATGTATCATAATTGTAATTCTTAATATCGTGATTATAATGACTTTCATCATATGTTACACTGATACAAAAGGAAATTAATTTTTCAAGATTAGCATTTCAGTTTAGAGAATATTCGTTTATTTATTCATTGTTGTTACGTAAAATTTATGTAATCTACTTTCGTTTATCAAATAAAATCCTCTTGGACTTTTAAAAAGTAGATATAGCTGCGTGTGAAATGTCTGTGATTGTTAGGAGTAAAGTGAAATTGAGGTGAATGTAAATATATATGAACAGATCTCCATCATCCATATCTACAACCACATCTACCTTAAATAAATCAATTATTTGATGATTAACAAAAGTAACATATTTCTATTTTGATTTAAATAATTATAAGTTGATTTTCTTCTTTTATACGTATACAAAATTTTATTGTTAATTGAATTTATATTATTTATTTACAGATCAACTAGATATAATAAGAATACAAAAATTTAAGGTTGGATTTATAACTGGTTTTTTTTTCGATAGTTAAGATTTTGAGAAAGAATCAATAGTATGAAATGAAAAACTCTTATTTTTTGCTTTTCTTTTCTACGAATATTTTATTATAAGTTGAAAATCCAAGAAAATGTTTATAATTCTATAAATAACGTCTTCTAATCTTACTTTCAAGAGAATATTCTAAGAGATTAAAAAAAAGAAAACTATCTGATCTTCAATCAATTTCTTTCTATAGATTTGATTTTTCCATAAAATTCTATTGTTGATCATAATTTAATTTTGTTTCTCTTCGAAACGTTTGAATTATTATTCTTAATTATTCGTACCTGTGAAAAAAACCTATATAATCATTGTGGAAAATGATGTTCAGTTATTGCGAGAAAAAGGTACAGTAACAGTTTTTTAATTGATCTGAACATTATCATTTGTTATTCGCTTAATGGTATCTACTTATTAATAATACAAAAAACGAACAAACAAAACTTTTTATATTATTTGGAACATATCAAAAGAAATAATTTCAACACTAAAAAGTCTTATAAAGAAACTTTAAAAATTCTAAAATATTTCATTATTGTTTATGTGATAATATAAAAGAAATTTATCACAAAGTTTCTTTTTTATGTTATACTATGTGACAAAGTTTTAAGCTCGAATAAAACTTTTGAATCTTATTTGATTTATGGCTATATATAAAAGAAGATTTTCATCGTATTGATATTCGTACAGTTTGCTACATTTTAAATAATTTATTTTTTTTAACTATTCGAAAAAAGATTCACGAGAAAATTGAGAAGGTCAAGTAATAGAAAACATTGACCATCAATTTTTAATACATATTACTGAGTAAATCACGTATAAATCATCAATATAGTTCATATTTAGTATCTATTTATAGAAAAACTAAAGTACAAAAAAATTAATAATAGAAATTTCTAAATGATTCTTCTCTTTAGCAAAATAAACAACAATTCAAAAAAGGATTTAATTAATTTACCATCATACTCAAATGATTTATCCGTCAAGTTTTAATAAACTATTAATTGCAAATTTCGATTCATTGTTTTTCTCATAAATTTTAAGTAAAAAATAAATTTTCGTTTTACTTATTTATCATTATTTGTTTTCGATATCATCATCTGGATTCTCAATTAGATTCGATAGTCTTTGTTATTAATAGTTATTTATAATAGATTCGACTATATTTTCTTTAGCAGTTATTGGAATTTAATAAAAACAAGACTCATCAATGATAATTGTGAATACCAAATAATGTATCAGTCATTTAATGAGAAAAAAAATACAAAGCAAAAGAAAATAGTTAAACATTTTTATACATGTGGAAATATTTCGACATTTAGGTAAATAAGAACATAACATTTAAGTAAGAACCGAATGGGATATTGCTTATAAAAGATGAAATTGTGTTTTTGTTTTTATTTTTTCGTTTTATGTCTTATTTATCATAGAATAAAGACAAGATTTTCTTTTTTTTATTCTACTAGAACAAAATACTTTTTTTTTATTGAAAAATAATTTAAATAATATAAATGATCGAGATAAAAATATTCAATTAACCATTTAAACTTAATGGAAGTTTTACTATAATGAGCGTGAGTGAATATGAGTGTGAAATATGTTTTTGACTGCTATTCTCTATCGAATAAATATTAAACCCATATTCACACCCATACTCTCAATGACTACATCTTATCATCATGTTGACCCGCTGCTGATGTTATTCGATATTTTCCTTTTAATGCAAATTTCTGACAAGATTTTGTTCACATAGAATTGTTTTTCGATGATATTCTTGCTTGCTTTATTCAGTATAAAAGTAAGAAAGATAACATTTGCTCCAGTTCTTTTCTATGATTATCTGAGAATATTCTCAAAATTCGTTTTAATATTTTTCATGTTGATAAAGAAATAAACTCAATAAGATAATGCAACAATGAATATTTACAAATCGTGTTTAAGATCAGAATTTTCTTGTTAGCAGAAAAATAGACTAACGATGATTATTGATATGTTTTTGTTGTTCTTTTAGTGTCAGTGTGCGATACAATGATGATATATTCGTAAGAGACATCAAAGGAATAGGTGGATAGTCAAATTAATTAATATATATAGGAATCAATAATCATGATCACAATTTCAAAATCGAATTTTATATGATTTAAATTGTATAATTATAAAAATGACTTGTATTTATGTCGTTCTTAATAGTATCGTAGACTGTACGATGGACACGTATCATTACTCTGTTTATTCATCAATTTGGCTTTGTTCATACGCCTAAAGATAACTAATTGGTCTACATGTGCTAGGTATCTTTATTTTCACATATGTTCTTTTAAATATAAAATCATTACAACTTTTCATTTGGGAAGCCTAAACCGAAAAAACATATTATAATAAAATGATAGACTTATGTCAGAAAAATAATGACATCATATCGACGACTAAATGATAAACTATCCTGTAATATTTATAATAAAAGAATTACATTAGATTGGGAAATATATTTAACTAGCGAGACCTCATGCTAATTGTACGACTGCTTCATTATTAGGGTGTGGATGCAGTATATCTCTTTATCTGCATACACACCCGCATCCGCCCGCACTCACACTCCACGCCCACACGTCACACATCCATCCATTGTTCATTTTACAAGATAAAGAAGCGAAGCAGTACATCGATGAATCAGCATTTTATATGTATGGAGGATCAATCAATGCGTTATCTCTTGTTCATGACGCACATCCAGACAAGAATATCTATTTCACTGAACGACGAAGAAACGTTCCTGATACTTTGAAAACTGATTTCGTTCGGCATATTAAAACGATTCTTGTTAGCGCTATCAGAAATTGAGCTCGCACAGTGATCGAATGGAACTTGGCTGCTAATTCACAATGTAAACCACATACACTTAGTGGATGTGCCAACTGCTTAGGTGTGGGTGGGTGTGGGTGCGTGTGAGTAAAGATGAAGAAGTAATACTACCTGCACCCACACCCACACCCTAATCTCAACGAAAATAAAATAAATCTATAAATATGATAATAGCTAAGGAAAAGAAATCATGACGAAGATACATATAGTTAGTATTTCGTCTTTGGCTTATTACTCAGTAATCTCAATGATCATTTACAAACAATATTTCATTTTTCTTTCGTCTTCTCTTTCCTTCTTAAAAACCATGTATTACTGCCTAAATGGTTTATTACTTATGCATTACTGTTTAATATACTAATGATCTATTTTTATCCTCACATTTAGATGATCTTCCTACCAGTTTCCTTATGTCTCCTTTTTCTTTCACTCTTGCTTTATGCATAGAGATATAGGCTAGTGAATAATACAAAAAACAGTATTAGATGACTAGTAGTCTTAGCGAGAAAGCTTCAATTGTTCAAGAGAAACAATAAACTTTGAAATGACATTGTTTCTTTCTTCTCGTTCCCAAAGAAACTGTCCAATAGTAAGAGCCTGTTTTTTTCTTGAACTTAATTCCTCAACAATGAATGTGAGTAGGTTAAAGACGCAACACTAATTAGATTCAAAGAAAAAGTCGAGATATTTCGACTCTTGGTTAAGGAGTCCAGTCGCGTCCTGTTCTTCTTTAAAACTAATTATTATCGAGTTTTTAATGTACCGAGATCCGAAATCAATACTTTTCAAGCTAAGAAAGTTTTAAAGACTGAGTAAAATAACTTTGAATTATGTGCACACTCGTCTTCTGTCATTGTCCGACTTTTTCAAGCTTGTTTTCAAAAGCTTCCTGTCTGCACTTCATGTTAAACATATCTTTCTCAGTACAGCACTGTTTTATTTTCGACTTTGCTAATATGTTCGAGTGGTGATGCTGAAAATTTATTTATGAACATAAGAGTTCAAAAATGTGTTTTCATAAATATATAGCTTAAAATTTCACGGCTACGTCTGTATGAAACGAATATGAGAGGAGTTTTAATAATTCAGTTCCTTTTTGACTGCATCTAAATCACCTTGTATTTTACCACCAAGAGGGAGTGGGTGTGGGTGTGGGTATGAGTGACTGTTTGTGTGGGTGTTGATATATAAGGGAGATGAACGCATGCACCCACACCCACACCCACAGAATCTTCTTTTTTTTTTTTTTTTTACTAAACTTCATTTATGTAGGTATTCCTGTAGGGAATCTTTTATTAAATAGTTATGTAAATCTTCCATCAAATTGTTATTCCGTAAGTAATCTTCGAACAAAAATACGGAATGGACACTTGCAACAAATGTATATTCTCCAGTTGCATCCAATGCAATGATTGTTGAATCTCGAGAAGAATTAGATCTCTTTCAACAGATTCAATAACAACAGAAACTCCTTCTCAAATAACATCCAGTGACAAATCACCAATAAATGGAACTGATATGAAAACAGAATTTGTTAACTCTCCTAAAAAACAATTTAAAACAGGTCATGTTGAAATCATTATCTGTGATCCTCGATGTCAGTCAAAAAAAAATTCTAAAAAAGAAAAAAATATGAAAATAAATGAAATGGTTTAACTGCTGTCCTGATTTTGTGAAAACAAACAACTTATTATTTAGATCAGAGATTATTATTCAGGTAATATCAGAACAAAATTAAACTGACAATAAAGGAAAATAACAATAGACATCTTTCGAATAAACCATTGGACCTTCAGCAATTAGTTGTCTCACTCCAGCACAATTACGTCGTGTTTCATTTCTTGTAAAATTATTTGTCACAATTTCCAAAGCGTAATAAGTGACTTTTAATTCTGTTAAATGAGGTGAATATGTTTTTGTTTCATTGAGAAAATTTTCGAGATAATAACTATTTGCACGCTCCATGTCAAGTGAAATAAGATGAGGATATTCAATAATTGAGAGCCAGTCTTTATCGCGAAGGTGGTAATTTTTATCCAAAAATGGTGGTATAATATTCCGAATAGATAAATTTTTAAGAAATGGAAAAGCTCGAGCAAGTCGAACGAAAAATTCATATTTGAATGGATCTATGTCCCATAATTTCAAATAAGTAACAGAATTAAATACAATATTTGGAATGTTATTTCCAATGCGTTCAAGAAGATGAAATTTAAATGGAAGTGAAAAAACTCTACGTATCATTTCGTAAGGCTCGAAATAATCTACCATACAAGCCACTTGTCGATGTTCTAGATTTGTGAACGTTCGTTGAATATCATCATTAGATACACGAATAGTTGGATAATCAATGACATTTTCAGAAGCGATATAAAATATGAATGTATGAAGTTGTGGCATATGAATAAGAATTTCATTATCAAGATGAGTGCCAGCGATGAATTTAGATCCACCAAAGATATTAAGATATAAAGTTAATTCTTCGAGATATATCATTCGATGAAGAAGACGTACAATTACATTGTCAAATCCTTGAAAACTACGACAACACATTAATGAGAAACGTTTTAAATTAGGTAGATCATTCTGAAAAATAGAAAGCAAATATTTATAAATTCATCTTTATCAGTTGAGCTAACACATAAATTTACATCAATCATCAACCAATATATATATTAGTCATTTTAGACATTCTGTTTTTAAATATTTCTTATATTCTATGAAATATATCTATTATCTAGGAACTATGATGATAAAGATGATTACTTTGTATTTGTTAAGTTCTCACACATAGAAACTAGTGAATAATTAAACAAAACCATCAAATATTATATAAGAATAAGTTTTCTTAGCA